CACGTTGGTGCTTGCAGGGACATTTGGATCCTGATTTACATGCCAAGGCTCAACATGGTGATCTTCAGAGTCCTACCATTTCACAAATTGGTCGGAATTTGTTATTCCAGTTGATAGCCTCCCACAAATGGTCGTTGAAACTTGGTGACATTCGTGGTGCGTTCTTGTCTGCAGGTCAGTTGCCTAAACAATATCGACCACTGTATGCCTCCTTGCCTGCTGGGGGAATTCCGGGCGTGCCAGATGACGCCCTGATTGAAATAACTGGACATGTTTATGGACTCAATGATTCGCCATCAGCTTGGTATCGTAAGTTGGATAGTGAACTTCATGCTGCCGGTTTCGAACGTTCCAAGATTGATAGCTGCATCTATTACATGCGTGAAGATGGTAAGCTGTCAGGTGTCTATGGGATACATGTTGATGACTGTGCAACAGGGGGTTATGGAAAGAAATACGAAGATGCTTTGAACTACCTCAAACAAAAATTTGAGTTCAGAAAGTGGCGTAACCATGATGGAGATTTCTGTGGAGCACGGTATGTTCAGGACCCTGTTTCTAAAGTCATTTCCATGTCACAGCAAGCTTTCGCTCAGAAACTGAGACCATTGCACTTTTCAAGAGAACGCATGTCCAAGAGAGATGAACCGTTGAATCCAAAAGAAGTTGCGTGTTTACGTGCGATCAATGGAAGCTTGAACTGGCTGTGCACTCAGTCACGCCCAGACTTATCTGCTCAAGTGTCCTTTTCACAACAATCTTTTCCTGAACCAAAGGTTCAAGATGCTCTGAATGTGAACAATGCAGTTCGTCGCGCCAAGCAGCATTCCGATCAGAACATTGTGTTTTCAGTGATTCCTCCGGAAGAACTTTGTGTAATGATGCACTCAGATGCAGCGTTCGGAAATGCCCGTGCTGGAGCGACGCAAGCTGGATATGTGGTGAGCCTGACCAGTAAGGCCATCAATGTTGGAAAAGAATGTGCGTGGACACCGGTCTTCTGGCGTAGTTTTAAACTGCCGAGAGTAGTGAGTTCGACTTTGAGTGCCGAAGCTCAAAGCATGTCGGTAGCTTCAAGCATGTGTGAATGGACCATGCTGTTGTTGAGTGAAGCACTTGATGGTTTTCGTTGTCCTCATTCCTTTTGGCATAGCACAGGTAGAGAAGCCGTCCTGGTAACGGATTGTAAGTCTCTTTATGATCATTTGCAGTCCCCCTCAACTCCTGCCTTGGATGACAGAAGAACTTCAATTGACATCATAATCATTAAGGATAGTATCCGTAGGTTAGGTGCTCAACTGAGATGGATTCCTACCAATCGTATGCTAGCTGATGCCATGACAAAGGAAAGTCCCGAAGCGTTTGACCTGCTCCGGGCTTGCATCCGAGTCATGCGATACCAGATCAGCCCCGAAGAAAGTGTCCTGAAATGGCGAGCAAAAGAGAGAGAGCGTCGGAAGCAGTTTGCAACCAGAGCTGTGTGCTCAACCACCTCCCATGTCGATCAGCCTCTCAGTAGTCATGGGGACTGAAGCAGAGTCATAGGTATCAACATGAAGTATAGTGTTTATGCATGTTGCAATGTAACCTTGGTGACCGGTCCTGTTTAGCATTCCTTGCAGATACTCAGCCTTTTTCTACCGAGTATCAAGGGTGGCACTATCTCGCATCGTTGTTGTGTTCCGTATTTTTCGATGGCTGAAGCACCGTTGTCTCCAGCCCAGTCTGATGCTTGGGATGTGGTGAAAGATGATTGGTCTTCCTTGGATCAGTCTCAAGCTGTCATGCTGGTGACGAAGGCTCGTCGCCTTGGTCTCATGGATCAAGTGATGCTGGCGGTTTGTGAAGAAGAGCGCTTGTGTGCCCAGCTGCAGCACACGCCTGGGTCTATGAATGATTCGTCAAAGCGCCTTCGTGAAGCCACAGTGATTACCAACCTAGCCAGTGATGGTCGTGCTGGATATGGATCTCTCACGTATGCTCCTCCTCCGTGTAGCTCTTACAATGTGCCTCCTCCTTTGCCGAAGTTGTCTGGCTCTGAGGGTGCGAACCTTGCCGGTGATATCGCGCTCCCGGAGGGAGTCACCAGTATGTCAGATTGGGCATGCACTGTGGTGTCCTTTGGAAAGTACAAAGGCAAGAAGAGCTATGTTGAGATCCTCACTGATGAATCCGAAGATATGGTAGGCTACAAGAAGTACCTCTATGATCATTTCTCCCATGGCTCTCCGCAGTTGCGGGATCTCACAGCCTATTTGAAGGCATGTGGCTATGGGGTGAAGAAGATTCAACAGCCGGTGATTCCAGGCACCACCATCATCCGTGAGTTCAAGCGCTGATTTGGAGAAAAGGGAAGCCAGCCATCAAAAGAATTTTTGAAACGAAGATAGAAGGAATGTTGATGTGACCACGCCAGGGACATTTATGCCCGAGATCAAAAGGGTGCGCATAGGGATGCGCAACTGCTGCTCCGAGGTTTGCTACCAACATATATATACAGTATATACATATGATATGCAGCATATACATTATATTACCAACCATCCAATTTGGGGTACTTTATTTTCAAACAAACCCAATCATTGGCAGCCAAATCTCTGGGGAACGCTACCCATTTCAGTCAGCCGAACCCCCAGTCGACCAGTGCTTGAAGCTATGGTTGGATGTGCTCAAACAGAAAATGTGACCATCGATTCACGCAATACCCATGCAAAACGATGTACGCGTATGTGCACATATTGTGTATATATATATAAACTATACATTACATTGCATTACATTACGTTATGTTACGTTACGTTACATTACACACGTACATACACAGATACAATCACAAAATAAATATACACACCTATTCATGCTACACTACACATACACGTATATGCACACTATAGGAGTTGCACAGTCTATTGTTTTGGAGCATCACCCATCTATTGTTTCAAGCGAAATCCGGTCCATGCAAAATCCTTGTCGTCGTCATCATCATCATCATCATCATCATCAGCAGCACCACGGCTCGACGTAAGTTTGGGTTCGATGATCTTCTTACTCAAAGTTGCCAAATTTTGGGTCACAGCGTAACTTTCTGGCTTGAAATGACTTGCAGGAATGTCCCCACCATCAGGGGTTCATTCCGGTTAGCGACTGGACAAAAGACTTAGCAACAATTGGATCGCCCCATTTGGGTCACTTCCCAACCAGCATGGAACCACCTACATACATCCTTTTCTAATTCTGGTTGTTTCTTTCACTGCAAAAAAAAAAGTCGTTGGGGCACCACCACCAGCGCGGCACCTTCCACCAGCTTGGCATCCCTGGTGCTGATGCGGCGCTGGGTCACCGGAGGCGCTGGCGGTTCCATGTTCACCGGCGAAGGGGCGGACACCACCATCACCTTCACGGGAGATGGGGAGGTGGCTGTGCTGTGATTTCTTTCTGTTGTTTTCTTTTGGTGCGTCCAAAAGCAAATATGTGTTTGGTAGAAAAATCAAGGAGATCACCATCAACATAAGGTTCCGGTGTCCAAGTGTCTAAGAGAAACAGGAAGTTGTTCAACGAAAATGAAGGTTTGAGCTATCGAAAAATTAGGAATTCGCATGCCTTTTATGAGCAGACACAGGACCCCACAAAATGAGCCAGGATCATCCTTGACGCTTCGGCAAGGGCACCTCTCTGTCGTCCAAATCCTCAGCGAAGGGTGTCCATCTCAGGTGGGCCCAAAAAGGTACTGAAAAGTGGCTCTAACAGTCCAAGAGGATTGTGATCTTTGACTACGGCCCAGCTTTGACTAAGTGCCCCAGAATTGTGTCCCGAATGCGAATGGTGTCAAAAATCCGGAACCCTCCAAAATCAACACAAAAATCCAAAGTCACAAAGGACTTTCAATAGAAACCAATCTGGTCGGTGGCTTCAACTCCACATCAGCCAACATTGCTAGTTCATTCATAATCCCAGGTATGCATAGAAAGTGCAACAAATACCAAGTTTGTCCAGAAATAGAATACTCCAATATCCAGCAGCTTTCTCATCCCCTATAACTGGCGTGAAATCCACCATTTTTGGCGGTGAATCCCATGGGTTTTTTGCCACCAGCCGAGCGCTTCGCTGGTCGAGACACCATGCTCATGGCGCTCTCCAAGGTCACCAACTTGGGCGTCTTTGGAGTCTTGCCATCCTCGACAAGCCGTCAGCAACCCCAGAATAGGAAAGATAGGATGGTTACCCTCCAGTAAATTAACATAGACCCTGGTAGTTGTTGGGGTTGGAAGATTTGTGAAACCTCTAAAAATTGGTGATAAAATCAGGGTCAACATGTTAATTTACCAGAGGGTAAAACATGTGAATGCTATTTTCAATAGCAAGCCCCCATGCCCAATTTATGTCATTGAAGATTCTCGACTCACACTCGGACCAAAAAGGATGCAAAAAGGATCAACAAATCATGTGTCCAGCACCAGCAACGACCAGCTCCCCCGCCACCTTCGCGCAAGGAGAAGGGCTTGGCGTTGCCCCCTTGGGTGTCTCCATTTTGCTCGGTGTCATCTCCCGCCTTGGACCCAACGGCTCCATCAACATCACCATCTCTGCCCAATCTGCAAAAAAAACATGTACACAAACAAAACATATCAAAAGATGTACAGGAATGTACACTTACCGTCACTTGCAGGTCATACATAATATATTTACAGTCATGTTTTTCAGCACATCAGAACTGTTTGTTTGGCGAACTGATCTGCAGCCAGCAGACCCTACAGCCGAAGCATCTGCATCAGCTGACAGCGACAGTGGCTCGAAACGTTGGAGATGGCAGTGGTGCATGTACCTCAGCTGATACGGGTATGAATCAAAATATATAATATAAATATCAAAATCTAAGATACCAATAGATACCATGTTTGTGCTGATGAAGCATTTACCCATTTGCTAATTTGGTATTATCAGGGTAGAGTAGCAGAATTTTGGACCATAACAACCATATGAAAAATGTTGAGAAGTTACAGATTTGAGAGGAAAGACCGCCATTTTGTAGATGGAAAAGACCCAGTTCCTGTCCACCTTTGCAACGAGTTCGTAAACCTTCGTGTTGCGGGGATCATATTTTACGTACAACTGCGAGTTGGATGACGGTTGAGAACACGAGTGGTAAAATGAATAGTTGGCTTCCAATGAATGTCCAATGGGCAAAGATATGATCCCAGTAAGAACAGCAACTCCTGCAAAGGGTTGGTAAGAATGTTGCGCAGCAATCAACGGGTATGTAGTGGGATGAAGTACCACCACTTACTGGTTTCATAAGTCGTTGCAGTGAATCATTGAATTACCTCTTCCAGCAACAGGGACCGCCGAAGGAGGCAAATGTTCATCCAACGATTCTGCTTATTTTTCAACCTATTGTGTATATACAAAAATCCTGTCAAGAAGGGTCAGTGTGCCCAGCCCAAAGATGCGTTAGTATCAACCCCCCTTTGACCACTACGATGCATGAGCTTTTTTGCTAAGCCACTGGTCCGCCTCACTCACAATCGCAAAGGGTTTTCTGTCCTGATGGGCTTCAAACAAAGTGAAAACAACATCGTCTGGTGGTCGAACACAGGAATCAAAAATCTATACATAGGAGTTGACACCCAGCTGAGCAGTTTCCCAGCTCGCTCCTGCGCTTGATGCGGTTGAAAGCCCACAATGTCCAGATAGATGTCTTGTCGGGCGAAGACATCTGGTTGATTGCCTGGACTTCAGCAGAATCATCCGAATTGCAAGATGCATCATGTATCTATCATATCTCGGTGTCATGATGATCAAGATATATCAAGAGTATTGCTGCTGTGACATGGAGGTCGCATGCTTCTCATAGGTGTCCTGACCCATGTCCAACATAAAGCCTAATCTTGTTGGTTTCACCCCATTTTGTGCAGGTTAAACCCATCGTAACTCGGGCTAGACGGCTAGATTTTGCGTTGAAAATCCGGCATTTTTTTGGTTCCGGCCCTCCCGAGGAACGGGAACCAGGGCCTCCTCCCTTGGGCGACAGACTTCCAGCCATGCTCCCAGCCCAGGTTTTCATCCGACCAAACCTGGGCCTTTGGCTCCTCAGCTGTGGCTCAACCAAGGCCGTAGCTGGGGATAACTCGAAAGAATAGAAGTAAATGGTAAATAAATTAATTTCAACACCGGTTGATGAAAATTCACCAGAATTCCTAGCTTGGGTGATCATCCCCAGTTGACATGTCCCCAATTTTAGTACAATTCCTGGGTCATCCCATCACCAAGGATGAGTGGATGATGAGTTTTGGGACAGGTGCCTTCATCAAAAATGCCACGGGACAGGTGCCTCAAGAGATAGTCAGTAGTTTGGCGGAAAAACAACGTTGCGCTAATTCCCTTAACACTTGTCTTAGAAATGCCAGCGTCAAAAGCGTGGTATATGAGTTCTGGCCATCTCCCTATCATTAGGAATTCCTTACAATAGGTATATTGAATTCTATGAATGGATTGACCATCCCCCAACATGGGAAAATAGACCATGTTTTGGATGTTTTGACCATGGAACATATTTTTTTTTTTGTCACTTGAAGGTATCCACTCCACCTGAGCTCCCCCAACTCGGAGGGCTGCGAGTGCGGTCGCGGGCGATCCGGAGTGCCGGACCTGTGGCCCAGTCACTGCAGGAAATTCAGCACAGTTTCCAGTGAAGCACCTGGCAGCACCTGGCAGCCTGGCAGCACCTGGGATATATCTCCTAAGCACAGCAAACAACGGTGAACATCTTTGGTGGGTCAGCCCGTGCCTCAAGTTGTATCCACATTTGGGGCAGATCATTCGGGATGGAGGCTCATCGAAGGCAAATCTCCTGGAGTGGGCCACAGGAAGACTGGCCACACGTTGTATTTACTTGTTTATTGATGCTATTCATTGATTTAATTGGCTAGTTAGTTAATTAGTTAGTCAGTCAATTAGTGAGTTAGCTAGTTAGTTTGCTAGTTTGCTAGCTTGCTAGTTAGCTAGCTGGCTAGCTAGCTAGTTAGTTAGCCCGTTTCTGGTTACAAGTTGTATACTAGTTGCTAATTACAAAATGCAATGATTGTCTTGGGTTGTTGAGCTACTGCCAACTTGATGCAAGCCCTCTGTTCGAACCTCCCCACGGCTGGCCTGATATCGATCAAGCCGTTTTGTACCAAGGCAGTCACTTGTTCTTTGGTCAAAGGCGGCCCATCATAGATGCCCAAAATACGTTCCTCAGTTGGTCAAGAACTGGCATCTGGGTCAACCAAGGCGGTTTCGATGTATAGAAATCATTGGAGATCCAAATAGGGTGGAAACATGACATGTTGAGAAACTGCCAACCAGCTTGTTCCTGGCTTGGTCCATTCCGAAGAACGCTGCGGGATTCCATGCCGGATACCCAAAAGGTTCAAGTGTTCCGCGGGATCAAGTTGACCTCTGAATCTATATCTGTCTTTTACCAGAACTGCACATCCACCCCAGGGACTTGAACAGACCCCAGGGCTTTAGAAGAAAGATCTGTGAACTTCTCAAAGCTTTTGTTGGACTCTCCCAGATGGAAACAGGAGGAACCTTCTGCTGCCATGGGTCCCAGGTTTCTTGCTGGGCATTTTTCATGTCAATGACCCATTTCTCCTGAGAAGCCAGCGCGGCGTAGCATACTCTGCCATCAGATGTTGGGAAGCTCGCTTGGGAGTGGGTCAACAAAACCTCCTCTCGGTCTGTCCCCGAACTCGCTATGATCTCAATTTTGGTTTACCTTTTCACTCGACGGAAATCCTGAGGACGCATTTTTTGGTTCAGTTGCTGATGTCAGAGGGGGACTTGTTTTCAATTTCTTCATGGAAAGAATTGCTCACTTGTTGCCTCATACCCTTCCCTGGTCACAAATTTGAAGGTGATGGCACTACTTCTGATGGTCCCCGAGTCCCCAAAGTGGTTCCTGCCAACGTCCTGAGAATGGACTAGGTTTGCTACCATCTACCCGGATCTACCCATTGAATCCATGGCTTGTGGAAAAACATCGCTGCAGTCAGTGCAGTCCCATCGCCTGGAAACGGTTGAAGCGGCGCACTGCATCTTGGTAGAGGCGGTCGAAGACATTCATGGGATGTGAAGGCATACCTGCGCCCGAGAAACCCGATGCGCAGGGATGTGCCACAATCAAGGGTGAAAAGTGCCACAATCACCATTTGGTCGGTGGGGAAAACTCCCCAGTTTGGGGACATGCGAACCAGAGTCATTCACCAGTTCCTCTTTGGGAAGAACGTCGAAGTGGCAAGACATGTTGGTTTTCGGAGGGTGAATCGGGGAATCCAACAATTCCGTATCAGCTCTAAAAATAGGCCATGCCAAAACATGGGGATTCCGTATAATCATAATCTATCCCCTAATGCCCAATGGCGATGTTTATCAGTGTGCCCCATTTTCAGACACACACCCATCGATCTGGCCAACTGTTGGCCTACTTCCAGTAGCGCTTCGTCCAAAAGACCTCAGCTGTCTGCGAGATGGACCAATGTCGAAGTCCATCCTCCAAAAGAATCATCCCCTCAACAGTTTGGAATTCCGAACTAAACCAATCCAGTACTCAACCAGGGTTTCTGGGTGGTGTGAATATTGGGGGATTGGGGGATTCACCTGCCGACAGCTGGGAAATTGTTTGCTACATGGATGGGAACATAACACATCAAATATGAAGGAAGGGAATGTTATTTTGCAGTGAGATTCATGGTAGAAAATTATATGTTGCCATCTAACCATCATACTCCACTTCTCAAAGATTTTGGCCAAGCCATGTGCCTTTGCCATAACTGCAAGCCATGGGCTGACATCGACACCCTTCTCCTGCAACTTCTTCTTGAACTCCTTGGAGGACTCTGCCAAATGTCAATCTGTGACACCCCAAATGTGGCTTCCCTTCACCATTGTTGGATGCCGATACCCATTGTTTGTTGGATTATATACAACTATAAACACCCGATATCTGGAATATATATATATATACATATACACATACATATACACACATAATAGAATATATATATATATTCTGTATACGGTTACATTACATATTCATATATATATATATTTGTAATCTTATGTGTATATAATTGTATAGGTATATATATAAATATATATGTTATAATGTACATATGCATTGTGATTTTTCTCCACTGGCAATAAGAACTTGGCCGTGGCACCTCGAACTTGCGTTTCAGCTCGTCCATGGCCTTCAGTAGGTATGAGTAAAACGAGCATGGATATACAGTGTGTACAAGTCATAGCGCCATATTTAAGCAACCAAAATGGGGATGTTATCAACCAAGAGTGGATTCTAAGCCATTCTAAGCCTCAAAAATTGGGATTCAACACAACAAATTAAACAGATCAAAAGGAGGATTTTGTGTGAAGGAAATTCAGGGTTGACCCGAAAAAGAATGGGGAAGCTTGCCAGAGAAAGAAATCGGGGAACTCACCCGCAAAAGAATGGATAAATCTCAAAATACTTGAGCCATGAAAAATACCTCTATCCCATCTCATTATACTAGTTGGTTGATAGGTTTCCCTACTATGGGCTATCATAATCCCCAGTAAACCAGGTAGTATAATCCCCTATAGCAATCAATCAACCAGGATATTTTTTAATGGCTCACTTGGACAATATGTAATGAAATCCAGCATCATCAATGATTTCTACTGAATTTACAACATATTTGCCTCATGTTTGGCAACTTCCACCCATCATCAAACCCATTGGCCACGGCCTGCTCCAGCGCTTTCCGCATGATCTTGGCTTCGTCCAAGGCATCTCGTAACTGTTTGTTCTCCTGGGGCTGGAAATCCTCGAGAACCTCCATTGGTACTATCCACTAAAATGGACGAGTTTCCAACTTAAAGGCATGCAGTATGTATGTATGTATGTATGCATGCATGCATGCATGCATGCATGCATGCATGCATGGTACGTATGTATGCATGCATGCATGCATGCATGGATGTATGTACGTACGTACGTATGTATGCATGCATGCATGTATGTATGTACGTACGTATGTATGCATGCATGCATGTATGTATGTATGCATGTATGTATGCATGCATGCATGTATGTATGTATGTAGGTATGTATGTATGTAGGTGGGTAGGTAGGTAGGTAGGTAGGTAGGTCGGTCGGTAGGTTGGTAGGTGGGTGGGTGGGTGGTAGGTAGGTAGGTAGGTAGGTATATGTGTGTGTGTATGTGTCTATGTGTCTATGCGTGTATGTCTGTCTGTCTGTCGGTCGGTCGGTCGGTCGGTGGGTCAATCAGTCGGTCGGTCGGTCGGTAGGTAGGTACGTAAGGTACGTAAGGTATGTATATGTAAGGTATGTAAGGCATGTAAGGTATGTAAGGCATGTAAGGCATGTAAGGCATGTAAGGCATGCAAGGTATGTAAGGTCTGTAAGGTCTGTAAGGTCTGTAAGGTCTGTAAGGTCTGTAAGGTCTGTAAGGTCTGTAAGGTCTGTAAGGTCTGTAAGGTCTGTAAGGTATGTAAGGTATGTAAGGTATGTAAGGTATGTAACGTATGTAAGGTATGTAAGGTGTGTAAGGTGTGTAAGGTGTGTAAGGTATGTAGCTATGTAGCTATGTAGCTATGTAGCTATGCAGGCAGGCAGGCAGGCAGGTAGGCAGGTAGGCAGGTAGGCAGGTAGGCAGGTAGGCATGTAGGCATGTAGGCATGTATGGATGTATGTATGTATGTTATGTTATGTTGTGTTATGTTATGTTATGGTATGTTATGGTATGTTATGGTACGTTATGTTATGGTATGTTATGGTATCTTATGATATGTTATGGCATGATATGGTATGTTATGGTATGTTATGGTATGTTATGGTATGTTATGTTATGGTATGTTATGGTATGTTATGGTATGTTATGTTATGGTATGTATGTGTATATATATATAATATATAATATCTCTGTGTGTGTGTTGAGAATTGTTGAATTTTTGTCTTTTCCAATGTCATGCTGCCATGCTTGATTACTAGGCTAAACATCACATACACGGCTTTAGATTTGCAGTTTGCCAGGTCCATCATCTTCACTTATATAGTCACACATGTCAAGGGCTGCATGATTTCCAGCCCAAATCTCAGTTTCGTCCCTTTGTGGCAGGAGCCCTGTGGTCTTCCTGCTTCAGATTTTCGTTCTCATCTTTGGTTCTTTTCAGCTTATCCCTCAGCGCCAAAGCCAAGCCAATGACCGCAGCGATGTGGCCATCCTTTACCGGTGTAATGACACGACCATAGACTAAAGCATCCGAATGGCCATGGCTCAAAAACAAGGTAAAACAAAACATCAGAAGTGTCCATGTGTAGTCGAAAGTCAACATTACACCATCCAATCCAACTCTGGGGTTTTATAAAGTCTCAAGATGTTTTGAACCATTCCCAAAATCACAAATCATTGAGCTATACTGCAATCCTTCAAAGCCAAGCATTTTTGCCGGGTGGCTGGAGTTGTCGATCCTCCTCTGAGCTCGGTCCTGCAGCCACACTCCAAATAGGTTTTGGGTAAAGTGGGTGGATAAAGAGGTAAAATGATCTACCTGGGTTCGAGCAACCCTATATAACCAGTGAAAACAAAATTGAATTTAAATGATCTACCTATTGCGGGTTCGAGCAACCTTATATAACCAGTGAAAGCCAGCGACATGTGGGGACAAGCCATATGTATTTATATATATATATATATTATTATTATATTATATTATATTATATTATATTATATTATATATATACATGTAAATAAAATTAAACAAATATTAATGTAACCCACACACTTGACCCCTGGGCAAAAGCAAACAGCCATCACGGCCAGTCTTTCGACCGGAACCTTCACACTGGAGCGACCTTGGACGGGTTCAAAATGGAGCAGCTGGCGATTTTATGCGCTGACGGTATCTGGGCTCTCCCAACGCCTCTCATCATCAAGCTCCTGGCGGGTACCCAAGAATCAGCGACTTCCCGAAACAGATCATCGTGATCAATTTTTTTGTGCACTTGAGGGCTTCCCAACTTCAGATCTTCATACAGGAAAAAAATGATGTTCGGTTTCTACTAGCCATCATATTTCAGAGATTTGTAAATTTCTTCTTGATCAGAATATAGCAACCCCAGCAAAGACAGAAAAAATAGAATCTTTCGGAAATGTTCATGATAAATATCCAATATCCAATATCAATCATATTGGCTATCTCTGATTGGGGATTGCTAAAACCAACATTTCAATTCTTTGGAGATCCCAGGTATCACATCCATGGCCCGATCCTGGCCGGTCCTTTTTGGCATCGTCCAGCTGCTTGCGCATCTGCTCCATCTGGGCCATCAGATCTGTCGATTGCCTCCTGGGGAAACCGCATATGGCTGTGGGGATCCCAATAGCTGGATGGTTTATATTTCAAAATCCCAAAATAAAATGGATGATTTACGGAAACCTCCATATGGGGGAAAGGGTTGCACAGACTTAGTCAGGCATCAAGGTTGTATATCAAGCAATAAAGGGTCGGGAGGGGGGACGTTCGCGTGAAAAATGTAACTCGTTCATTTGGTCCGCATCATCCATTGCTAAAGCAACAAGAAACTCTAGCTATCTACCGCTAGCTTTAGTGATTATAACAACAATCATGATGATTATTAGCAGCAGGATCAAATCTGAAGTTGTTTTGGTGACAAATGAGTAATCCCTTCCCAAGAGTATTGAATATCCTCTCAAAATTCTGATTTCGTATTGGATACATTCATTTTGAGGTTTGTTGGGGGTATTGAAAATTGCAGGGATGTGTATTCCTTCTACCAACCCCCAGTCACCAGCATTGCAGAGCCTCGCAAAATCCGCAGCCTAGTCGCGGGCCAGTGTTAGTGGGTCTTCACAGGTTCTGTTTTCAGGAGTTGATGATCAAATTCACTGGGTTGGGCATGGGAATCTGCAACGTGCTGGTACCATCACCTTGCAACATGACATGTGGTACTGTAGCTAGTCCCTTTCTCACTGAAATGAAGTGGAACACACCCTGAGATCATTATGCAACTATGGACGGCTCGAGCTGATGCCGGATGCTTCGGGTCTCCAATTCTGGGACCCCAGTTCACAGCGTAAATTCCCACCCGTTGCACAAATTCGAAGTTTTCATGTCTGAAAAATCCCAATCTGTAACAGAGCAAACCACTTCTCCCGGGTGGCATTCATTTCAATCTCTATTTGGGTGTTTCTCAAATTTAGCCCAAAACAATTGATTACCATATTAAAGCTCATTTTACGGGATTTTCCATGCTTCCTCATCTCACTTTCCACACATTTTGGCATGTTTTCCCATGGGATTTTGGCCACCCCAGCCCCCCGGGTGAACCCCCAGCCCCACCTGGGTGCTCTCGGTGGCTTCGCGCGTCTTCACCTTCAATTCCTCCTTGAGCTGCGCCACTTCGGCTTCCAAGTCCTCGTTGCGCTTCATGAGCTTCGCCATGGCCTGAAAGATCTGGAACTTTCCAGAGATTAATTCTGGGAACTAACATAGCTATGGCATCTATGGAACATTTAGCTTATTTATAGATGACTTACCTATGACTTACCTATGACTTACCTATGACAAAATTGTGATGTTCACTATATTTATAGAAAATCACCAGATTTAGGAGGTAAATCATCTATTAAATAGGCCATGGTCCATAGTTGTGTTGAGTTACCAGAGGGTCTGTTGGAGACAGATATGGCGATTTTTTATAGATGACTTACCTCTGAAAAATGGTGATAGCTGCCATAGCTATGTTAGTTTTCCGGAGGGTATACATATCACTGGATATATCATGGGGACATAGAATGAGATCTTGAATGGCGTATATTATATATTATATATGATATATTATATATTACATATTACATATTATATATTATATGTTATACAAATCATATATTATATGTTATATAAACTATATATCATATATTATACAAATTATATATATATATATTATATATTATACAAATTATATATTATATATTATATATTAAATATTATATATTATATATTATATATTATATATTATATATTATATATATTACATATTATATATTATTATAGTATTATATTATTATATTATTATATTATTATATTATCATATTATTATATTATTATATTATTATATTATTATATTATTATATTATTATATTATTATATTACTATATTACTATATTATTATATTATTATATTATTATATTACTATATTATTATATTATTATATTATTATATTATTATATTGTTATATTATTATATTGTTATATTATTATATTATATTATTACATTATTACATTATTATATTACTATATTATTACATTATTATATTCTTATATTATTATTATGGGATACAATGGGATATTAGATGTAACCCAACAATATGTATGTATGTATATATATACATATATATATATATAGTATGTGGTGACTGCTGGGAGATGGGTGCAGGAGCAAAGGAAAAAAGCAACAGAGCCAAGGGATATCCAACACAAAATCTTTGGGGATTTGGCAACATGAAATGGGGCTATCAAGCAACAAATATGTGAGTTCAGTCGTCACAGTTCCACGGAACTGGATCAAAATGTCCAAACCACCAGTGAACCACAAATGCACTGGCCATCTTTTGGGAGTTTAGCATCCAAACGTTGCCAAGTTCCCCTGAGCTGCCACGCGTCATTGCCCTTGGTCGCATCGGTCAGTTGCTTCTTCAAGAGGTCAAGCTGCCTCTGTCCATAAAGGCTGAGTGAAGATCTGGTAGATATGCTTCCCTCTTCCCTCATCTTGGGGTACTAGCTGCAAGAATCAGGACTGCTTAAAAGTCCTTGAAAAACAAAACCGGCAGCAAATTGAAGGACTTTGCCATAGTTCTCTTGGCTCAACACATCTAGCCCCAGAGAGTCAAGGGGTTGTTCCAAGTCTAACTGATACTCCAAGAGCCTCTGAAGATCAGCCTCTTTCTTCCCATCGTCCTTTTTCTTTTCTGGGCCTGGAAAAAATGCGAAGGCGGCAAGGGTTCGTGTTTGGAAAGCCCCCACGAAAGAAATCAGTGGCTTTTTACCGCTGAAATCGGCCAAGTTCAATGATTTGAGATTCCACAGGACTTGGTCTCCTGGTGGCAATGTCTTGGTCGACAGCTGGCTCCTTGGCGCGGGGAATCCGTGGCATAGGGTTTCACCCCAAAAATGATCTTTACTTGCGGGTGTCTGCACATAGGACCTAGGAGACCGGAAAAAAAAACTGTTTTTTTCAATATTAAGATGAAATCATATATTGACTTATCGCAATATACGCAATGAAATTGTTATTTTTGGGGAAACCTATCTGGGGTCCATCATCCCATCATCCCAGGATCAGACGGAAAAGGTCGGATACCTGAAACTGCAAAAACGGGGTCCCACAGCAGGGTATATTTCAGGCCCGCATCCAACGGGACTTAATTAACGTTGCAGGCAGAACTTTGCAAGCTGATCAATCATCAGTAGGTCAAAGCATTCATCATGTCCTACAAATATCAGGATCAGATAAGATCAGATCAGATTGATATTTCCCCATCATTTTCCCAATCATTCTCCCAATCAAATGATTTACCAAACATGACCAAAACAAGTGGTCCCCTAAACTCAATATTTGATGGCCATGGCTGCAGCCACCGAGGTGCTTCAGCTTTTCATTCTCCTCTTGCAGTTCCTGGTGAAACATGGCTGATAAACGCAACAGCCATAGATCTGTAAAGCTATTCCACGTTTGTTTGGAACATTGGTCGTTTGATGCTCGTTTGATGTTTGATGGTGCTAGTTGTCTTGTTTTGATGTCTTTTTGATTGTTGGTTTGATGGTCTTTTGGTGGTTTGGTCGTTATGGTCAGGGCACCTTCACTTGAGCTTGCAGCTTCTTGCTGGACTCGTCCGCCAAGCGTTTCAGCCTCAGTGGATCCCATTTTTTGGGGGGACCAGGGGGGACCCATGACCCCAAAATCAGTGGCTTGGTGATCAATGGGAAAACCCATGGTTTGGGGCACCCATCATTTTGTAGCCTCCAACTCGGCACAGGAATCGGCCGAGATGCTTCTGGATCTCCTCCTCCAGAGTCTTCTGTTGCTTCAGCAGTGCCGCATTCTTCGCCTTCAGCTGGTCAACCTGGGGAGATCAAGACCAAATCAACCACCAAAAAGCCAAGGGAAAATATATATATATATACACAGGCAAATGCTGAAAAAAAAATGATCAACCCATTTTTAATGGTTCCCAATTGTCCATGCTTTTTTTTAAAGTTATCTTGGGTTTTTTTGCCAGTGGCACCTCACTGGCAGAATCATCTGCTGGAGGCTGTGCTGTGAGCGTCTCGAAGAACTTCCTCAACGACGCAACCCGGCCGCAGCCAAGTTGGAAATCCAAGTTGGGAGTCCAAACAAACACAATGGCCCAACCCAAGTGTATTTATTAAAAGTTAGTATTATCTGTAGAATTGATATACATGTATTACATGTATGCATATATATATATATAGCCAATGTCAAAACATGGGATGAATGTGGTATGGTCATCCATCCCAGTATGGGAATCCTTACAAACGGTGAGTCTACTGAATGGATTGATGACCATCTCCCACTCGCCTGGCTACCTCGAGGCTGCAGTCTGGATCCAGGCCGAAGATCTGACGATTTTCGGGACTACCCGGAAGATTCCCATGGGCTGAAAGTTGCTATAGCAACCACAAAAAAAAATATACCAGCGTTGAAAACCTAGAATTGGCTTGCATCTTCGGTCAAAGCATGTTGTACCTCCATCTCCACGCTCACAGCTTTGCCCTGCCTGGAAAATGCCACGATGTCTTTCCATATCTCGCTTGTTGCCATCCAGCCTCATCCCACTCCCCTCAAGTCATCAGTCTGCCAGTCCAAATCATTGAGTGCTGAAATTAGGATATTGGGGCCATGATAGAGATTAGTAGATGCGTTGCTCTGACTATGCGCCAGCATCATGGATATCATCCGAAGCAGTTTCTGTTACACAATTTTCAGTGAGAAGTCTGCCAGTTTTCTGTGGACGTATATATCACAGGAAAAGTCCGACCCGAAGCTGATGTTGAATCCATAGACCACCTCATTTATTGGATATTCCTTGGTATCGCTCACACAAAAATAGAAAGAATTACATACATCATAAGGGCATGTATGGGCCATGTTCTTGGGATTTCTTGGATGCTTTTTGCATGGTAAAAACATGTAACCAACAAAAGACCAAAGTCAACCCGTCACCATTGCGCTTCCGGGCTCTTGCTTCAAGGCCTCGATTTCAGCCTGCAGCTTCTTGGCCTTCGAGAATGTGGCACCGTGTAGGGATGGATCAATGGGGTGGATCCACAAAATGAACCACATTTTTGTTTGTATTAAACTTCTTAACCTTCCAGTTTTTTTGGTAAATTTGCTCTGGGCCAATGGTGTAAATGGGAAGATAATTTACAAATGGGAAAGACGGGAAAGAATGCGGATATTGGATCATATTGATGTGATGAGCAAGATCTGTGATCCCTTCCCCCTTTCGTGAACCCCTTACAAATGGGACCCTAAAGTGAATAGATCCACTACTAGACCAACGTTTACCAGTCATGACAACGGTTGTGACGAGCAGACATGGGAAGCAAACAGCAAGGTAATCTGCCAGAAGAATTTATAGAACTCAGCGGGCAAAAATGGAGAATACCTCCCTATTCCAACTGATTCCGATGATAAAAAAAACTCCCATGGTCCAAGTCTTTGGAAAATGCGTCGGAGAGTCATCAATCGAATTCCGGAGAATCAACGATTCGGATTTCTTGGTTCAAAAGATGCACAATGACGGCCATACCAACTTAAATTTGAGTAGAAATTAGAAAAGGTGATATTGATGCCTCTCAAATCACTTACCAAAAAATAGCTCTGTTGGTCACACGGAGTTTGCCAGAAACCTGTTGAGAATGACCTGGATGTGTGTCCAATGTCGCATATCGTGACCTGGATGGTACCACCGTCCCCCGTACTGACAAACCACAGGTGCCAGATGAGACAGCCCAATGAATCCATCATCAATACCCTCCGGTGTCATCAGCTCCATGGCTTGCTGGAAAATCCCCCAGCAATAGTTCGATGATATTCACAGCTAGAAACCTCTATTTAGTGCGGGGATTTCCAGTTACCATAATTTGATTACCAAAGGGTATCATAAGCCTGTGTGGAGTGGAGAATTCTTCTTCTCCAGTATCTTGAGGGGTCTTGAGGTATCAAATTCTATGATGCCAAATCCAGTTGGGGGTTCCTAAAATGCCGGGACCCCATACATCCTAAACCATGGGTTTTCCCATTGAGAATCACCCATAACTTGGATGATTTTGGGATACCATTTTAGGAAACCGCCAGTTGATCACCTTGGATTCGGTGCCTCGCCGGGATCTGCCTGAGCCGAAGGCCGCCTGACACTTGGTAAAGCCAGTAAACCATCCGCAATCACCAGCAAATGACTTAGTATCAATAGTATCAACCATCAAAAACATTCAAAAACTGGCGGTTTCACCGATTTCCCCCATTATATGCAGATATCTTCCCGTTTTCCTCGTTCAGTAGGAGCTAAAAAAAGTCGTGCCTGGGAGGTGCAGGCGCGCGCTTCTCAGACCCTTCGGCCAGCATGGCTTGCAACAAAGCATCCTCCTTGGAATCAGCGACGGGAAACGTCATGGGGTTTGACAACCCTCACTTGAGTCACTTACGAAGCGTGATCCTCATTTCAAAACCGACCCAAAACACGGTTGACGTGGAAATTTTTTGAGGAGAAAATGAGACTTGAACCTAACATGCCTGCAATTCGAGTGGTTGTAGCCAAGGGACAACCTTCAAGCTTAGGGCAATCAAAGATGACTCCTTCCCTCTAAGGATCACACCAGCTGCTCTCGGAGTCTATCTGACCTGATAAGTGCGAGCATATCTTTCCGCCTGCTATGCAGAGGCAAGTCACATTCCCTGAAACTTGAGTGGTGCCAAACATGACAGGAGGGTATGATGACGGAAAGGATAACCCCCAAGCCTATCAAGCCTACAGTTGAGGAATCCCAAATATCACAGGGTGGGACAAAGTTGGCCAACTGAGATCCCCACTCTGTTTGCGCTTCCTTCAACTGGTTCATCAGCAGTTGTCTGGCAATGAAGTTAGCAGGTGTTTCAATTGCTTGGCACCCACACAAACAAGACATGAAATTGAAGACAGATACTTAAAAAATACATAAATTACATACACGTGTATGTAGATGTATATGCATAAAACTTGCATATATATATACTGTATCTGTACAATACGATAGAGAGAGGGGGAATGAGATACGTCATATCACTCCAATCAGCTGATGGATGACGCCAAACCAAACATGTCTGGCAGCACATGGTCTCGCCAGCTGCTGCTGCACCTCTTCCCCACATGACAGAAATAAACACAGCAATCAAACAAATCACAAAAGTGCGACAGCATCTGGGGACTGTGGCCTTTGGTCAGTGCCACCTTCATATTCTCGATCATGGCGGCCTGGACATTTCGGAACCCTATCATTCAGCGTCAAAGTCAGGTGAGGCCTGAAGCCTGAATCATGGGTAGCCCTAACCCGCAGCCGCTTCCGATGCAGCACCGCTTTCTGCGACGTCTAGTGACTCTAGTGTCAAGATTGATGCATACGCCTGGCCAATCATGGAGATGGCGAACAAAAAAAAAGAACCACATACACGCGTGTAGCTCATTCACGCCAAGCACGCAGTGGTGTGCCTCAAAATTAAGTGATTACTCCCTAGAGTTGGGGTCGGTCGTCCGACCACAGTCATTTCGTTTTGCTGAGAGGACTATATGTTGGACTTTTGATCTGATCTCCTCTGTGGTTGGACGACAACTCCATGTCACTGTGTTGCCGAATTAGGGATGGCAGGTATTAAGCTGTGGGGCGCGTTCAAAGTATTAGCCGTTGCCAATACCGCGCCTCAAAATTGTTGCCAAGGGCAGCTGGAAAATATCAAGATTGGGTGGGCAGCTACCCTCCGCTACCCAGAGTGCCAAGGCCTAACCTTGACCTATTCAATCCATTTCAATCCTATTCCTATTCACAACACCTTTGAGGTGAAGCTCCAGGATTCACCGTCCCTTTTGGCGGTGATCAACCGGGGTCGTCCCACAATGTGCTGAGGTGCCCAGACGCCGGTCCAGCTATGATCCACGGCGGGTTGGTTGGCCATGGCGTTGTTGGACTCCACTTGCACGGGATAGTCTGCCGGGGGTGGGCCGTTGGGGCGAAAGACCTGGTTGCTGCCGGGGTTCGGACGATATTCCACGCCACCTGAGCACAAGCCGGAGCGGAAGTCCGGCTCGACGTTTCAAATCCGAAATCCTACAACAAAAAAGGGTAAATATGTAAAATATCCACAAATGTTCTTTTACAGGTTGTTTTTGTGAGACTGTGCGAGTCTGTGCGTGGCACCTCCTTTTTGGGCCTGGCGTCGACGCATTCATGGATTCCGCACCAAAGCCACTAGCATCGATCCCATTTCTCTTCAACTTTTTCCGGGGTCTGCTTGAGTGCTGCAACAAAAAAGTAGTAGGATCCAATCTATCCATCTTGATGGATATGTCGGTGATTCATCTCATAATCACGACAAATGTCCCATTTGCCAGCTAGATTGCCGGGTAACTTGTTTCTTGCACTATCATCTCCTACACCACTCACCTGTTCCCTACACCACCGGACTGACCATGTCGAGTGACCCTGGAAACTGCCGCCTCCCTTCTGCCAGTGACCACGCTGCTCGTGGATGTGTCCAAAGAGATGAACCTTTGCCTGGTGACACCATCAGTGGTGGAAATGGAACTTTTAGTGACTGAAATCGCAGAGGAAGATCCACCATGTTCATGGAAGTGGGGCAAAACCTGCAAATGCTGGGTATAGTCCGGTTTATTGTGATCCCCAAAATGGGTCTGGCAATTCAGCACGGCCAAATTGCTTTCAGATCTTTCAAGCTTTCGAAAAAACACCAGATTTTTGTGGATCCTTTTGCTCGTTCTATGAGTATCTCTCTCTGCTCGATGGCGAACTCCCCACTTTGGGGGCCATATCCCCAACCGCTTGGTGGATATGGAAACATCCATTTCCATCCATTTCCTACGGTTCCTTTGAGAAAGCTGTCATCACAGTGGTCGAAACCACCAAAATGTGATCTGCCCATTCCAATGAACATAGGTCTTGACCGACCCCCAATTTCTTGCTACTTATGACTGGTATGTCACTGGTCATGTTTAGGATTCAAATTTATTTTAATAAGCAGACCATCCAGTTTTTGGAAAGTCAAGAAAGTTCCAATGCTCCTCCTCTCCTGAAAAAGGCTAACAATCCTAGAAATGGCGGAAGGGAAAACGGATAGGAAACCCCCCAGGATAGCAAAAGCCACCACCATGTAGCTGGGTCCCCAAAAAGTCAACCCAATCATCAACCTTTGGGTCTTGAAATTCTGACAGGTTAAAGAAACATGATATAATTGGGCCCACTTCCAGTTTTTTGGTCCCCCCCATCAAACTCTTGGAGTCGAAATGTCCAGTTGCTCCCGGAGAGAACATTGGCAAGTTCCACCCCTAGCTTTAGTACCCCCAATCATCAACTTCATTGTTTAGGTGTTATCCATCTATCATGTGGTTGGGAAACTCTTAACGACTCCTTGGCTCCTATGGATACCATTGGATAACCACTCCGAACCGCGCCTAACCACTGGATAGCCAAGATCATCCAAGATCTATCAACAATAAACATCCAAAAAGGACCCCGAGAAAACGTGGCTCCCTGCACCTTGCTTCGGTAGATGGCGCTGCGAAGTTGCTGACTGGAGCCCCAGCTACCGCCTGCGGTGGAGTCGAAGATGCCCACCGGACCGTCGTGGGTCACCAGGATGTCCACGCCTGGGGAACTGGGGACTGGGGAAAACCAGAAAATCAAAAATGGAGCAATGATTTCAAGCAAAGAGCAATTTCGCCAACCAAAAGAGACAATTGTCCAAGAACAAGCTGGATATACGTGTTTTTTAATTGAGACCCAGGAAAAACAACAAATTGTCAGTCATTTTGTTGGTGAGTTGCAAACTATCAAAGCTTCGGGTCCCACTTTTGTCCCGACCCCGATATTGGGAGAGCATGAAGCTAGACCCAATCAGAAAACTTGGGAACTGACCCAAGTTTAAGTGTTGGGATGAAACCAGCTGAAGTGGGGATGTTGAAATTCGAGATGCAAACCAATTGAAGCGGAGTTGTTACCCCAGAAGGAGGGGAGATAACAAACATGTTACAAACATGGGTGGCAAGCATAGAAGTCACAAGAGTAGAGGTACAAATTTGACAAACCAACATGTGGGAATCTTACTAAGTCAAGTGAGTGAAATGGTGCATTGTTGGTGAACCCGCTCAGTCTCGTGTGGCTAATATCACCATTTCTATCCGTTATCTTCCCGCTCTCATTGCTTATAGAGTCCAATGGTTCCATATCCTAACAATTTGATACAGTTTGTATTTCGTATCACCATGATGCTTATACTTATCATTGTCATGGTCAGCGATCTTCCCATGGCTAGATGCACCAAAAATGTCCCACTCTGGTTGTTTCCTCACCCACTTCCCCGCCTACAGGCACATCATCATAGTTGTTGCCCGAGAAGGAATCCCCACGGCGAGGGGCCCAGCCAGCGCCCCAGATCTTGAGACCCATCACTTCAACCAGGTCATGGTTCAACACCTGTTCCGCTGCAGAAAAACAGATCACTTATGACCCACTTTGTCTTTGTCTTTGTTGTTGTTGTTGTTGTTGCTGTTGTTGCTGTTGTTGTTGTTGTTAGATTGCAAAATGTAGAGCTTCACCTGAGGTCATCACGGACTCAGCTACCCAAGTTCTGTTCATACGTGTTTGACCTGACGAACACGTTATTTATTTTGGCTCATCTCAAATTGTTATGCTTGAAACCACCAACCAGATCAAATACCGAACAAATTAAAACAGATGAGCGTGGGCTTCACCATTGTCTATCAATCCTACATTCCGCTGCTTCACCCCCCATGTTAAATGCTCAAATCTCCAGAGTTAAAAGCCATTGCGGTTGATTAAAGTCCCATTTTGGTAGACGCCTTGGCGTTTGTAATCTTCTCCTGGAAGTAGTTGGGGCTTTGCGCCGTGGCATCTGAAAGGGCACCACGGTTCAAGCGCCAGTTAGTCTCCCAGTAGTCGTGGTTTCCAGAAATCACCAACATCTCGCGGTACTTTCCCTTCAGGGATCCCAGCCAGTTGTTGAAATCTCCCACTTCACCATCACTCCCAACGGTGGAGACATCACCCGAGTGGATGAAGATGTCGGCCGAGGGGAGATCACCCAGAGAGTAATGCAAACTATGGGTGTCACTCACATGAAGAATGGTCACAGTGTCCTCGCTGAGATGTTGAAGAGGTTGCATTAGCAACCCCCCAAAAGATGGAAATGGGTAATTTCCCACTATTTGATTAAGATTTCACTTTCCATCTCCATCTTTTTGGGGGATGCTATAGACATCACCCAACCATCGCGGGATCATCTCCAGTAAGCCTATAAAACGCAACGTTTAAACATGTTTACAAAGGAAAAGAACTGCAGTTACCAAATGTGAACCATCAATTTTTGTCTTGCTTTGTATCCCCGAATATGTTTGGTCAGAACATCTTCCAACCCGCGCGTCCTCCCTGCGCACTTTCAGACCTCTGGTGGCATTGGCTGCTGAAGATTCCACTGGCAAAACGGTGAAAACTGCCGCCGCGAGGAGTCTCATCATCATGGTAACCAAGAAAAGAAGAACGGCAGCCACGGCCCAGCAATGGTATGCCCCGTTTATGCGCCAAAATGGCTGCGGGAACTAAGTTCCACCACCAACCCCAACTGATGTGACGTCGTGATGCCTCAGAAAAATCAACAGTTTGGCATGGGAACCTCAAGGACTAGCAGGAGTGACTACCGCTTTGGGTCTGCCCTGGAGCTCCCATTCCACTTGGATCTGCTTCGTATCCAGGCGCAGGGACCTTGAAATATTCCTGGGTGAGAGGATCCAGTGCCATCTCGGGTTGAAAGCCTGGCGCTGGTGCATGAAATCCAGACTGCTGTTTTGAGGGAAAAATGACAGGAAATGGAAACCCACTAGATTTGGTGGTGAAAGCAATGGTTCTAGCAGATTTTCCCATGAAATCAATCCACTGAACATCAAACTGGAGCCGGTGGAGAAGTCTCCTATGAGAGGTCAGTCTCAGGTGAATATCCAAATGCATGACTCCCAAACTTAGGATGCAGAAACCCTGCTTCAAAAACAAACAGCTACTGGTCTACATGCATGCTCCCCAACATCGAAGCATCTAGCAAACCTGAGGAACCCGGTCCCAAAGAACAAAAATCTCTGCACCAAACCGCAAGACCATGCCAAAGTTGCGGTACACATGATGGTCTGCATCTTCTTCACTGATTTCAGCAAGGGCAGCCTGTATTGCGGCGATCGGGACGAAGTACAATCACTATCCAATCTGTCCACTCCGGCAGTCCGCAACCAAACACTCTGCAAATTCTACACCTGGTTATGAGTCAAAGCTTGGACCTCCCCACCCAGAGGCAGGCGAACAACTTTACCCCATCATCCAATGCCTTGTGGCCTTGTTCTTTTCAACAAACGTTGCGGACCTGTCCCCCATCGATATCACCGAGCCCCGGCGCCTGCAGTGGTGGACTGAGGGTTTCGCTCCGCATGCGATCGCGATGCTCCGACAGCTCCGCCAGGTACTGCCTGGCACAGCACCAGTTGGGGCCCCCCCCTGGGGCTCCATGGGGCCGCCCCAACAGGGCACGGACCACCGGACCCGCCTGCGGGATTCCATCAAGGTCTTCTGCAGATCCTGGTGAGAAAAAAAGTACCCTAAGAGGTGGGAGACTTCCTTCTGGACTTGCCCAAGATTCAATAGTTCTTAAGTTGGAAAAGCACAGTCAAGTGAGTCTTGTCCAAAAATGCAGAATCCTACACCTGCGGATGCACCGTTTTCTTGCTGACGCTCCACATGTGGCATCCTCATTGGCCCAAAAACTCAACGCAACTCCTGGCCTCGTACTTCTCTTTGAAGCCGCGCTCCACCTCATCCATCATGGGTAAACGATCGTTGATCACCGCCTCAGGCCAGCTGCCACCCTTGTTGCTATCGGACAGTAGACAAGGATACTTTCTTGGGACAGGCACTGATTCAGCATTTGCACCAGGGCGAAAATCTGTGGTTTCTAAAAGTCAAAGCAGCAACTGCGTCCAAAGGATTGCGGTCCTCCAAAAGGATCTACTGCCAAGCTCTGTACCATCCGCATTTGAGTCACAAATGTCTGAACCATACCCACCGATCTGTCACCAGGAAAAGGATCCGAAATCTCTCAAGTTGATGGTTGACATTGATAAATAGGGGCAAACAATTCCATGAATTCCCTTCTCCAAATCTCCGGCCCATCCGTGGCCCGTCAGCTGGTTCCACCTCCCATGTGAGGATGAGCACAGTCCAGGACAAGTCCTGCGAAGCACGAGCTTCACACGGGGTGAAAGTGTGGTAATTGTACAGGAATCAAACCTGAAACTGAGAATTAGCAAAATGCCTAATCACTTTATCTCTATGGTTTTGTCTGAAAATAGGGTACCCCAAAATCCAACTGTATAATAAGTTTTCCTATATGCCATTTGATGGAATCAATCCTGCCCTTTGTGAACGCCAATAAAGCGGAGGCTTCGACATAACAATATGGTTATAACGGTTATGTATCGAAACCCTGGGACCATAATGAACATCAAAATGGTGCAGTGTGGGTGCCCCGCGGGGCCGCTAAGTGATTTCTGCCGCTTGCCCCGCTTGCTCCGCTTCTAGGGAAAATAAGTGAATCTTCCTCCTTGCCCCGCTTGCCCTGCTTGCCCCGCTTGCCCTACTTGCAAACCGAGGGAAGATCGGTGGTTCTTCCCGCTTGCCCCGCTTGCCCCGCTTGCCCCGCTTGCCCCGCTTGCCCCGCTTGCCCCGCTTGCTTTGGTTTCAGCACACAGCAGTATGAAAAAGGAATAGAGGTGGCAACGTGAATGGAATGTTTGGGCGAGTGGGGCGAGTGGGGCGAGTGGGGCGAGTGGGGCGAGGGGGGCGAGTGGGGCGAGTGGGGCGAGTGGGGCGAGTGGGGCGAGTAGGGCGAGTGGGGCGAGGGGGGCGACTCCAAACACCGTTGCAACAATACCAGATTGGATTCTGCAAGTTCCCTTTGTAGAAGACGTGTGCAAGATCTCCTTGACAGGTTCTTTCTAGACGCTGCTGTGCAAGATCCTTTTGTACAAGGTCTGTATGAGCCCAAACAAAGATCGACTATGTTTAAACATGTCCTCGAAAAATTGCGTTGAACATTGCTTGACACCAATGTGCATCAAGCATCACCGGAAGCAACCTCCAGCCATTCCGGGAATGCGCACCGACGCGCAGTGCACGGGCCCCGCGGGACCACAGACCCGATGGTCACAGTGAGGAGTGGACTATTGTGCCATCTCTATTTGATTGCGTACCAACATCACGCATGCTGGCATCAGCATCTGCTGAATCCCTAAGGTAGAAGCCGTTGTCCTGGTGCCACTTAGCATCGGCACCTGCAGACGCAGGAGTCAGCGACATGGTCGGTGTGGACAGGACTCCCGTGAGTCTTCTTTCCCCCATGAAGCAGAAAAAATATATCGCAGTCGGAAAGGATGGTAGAAAACAGAAAAAACAGGTGCAAGTTTCAATTCTTTCTTGGACTGGATCAGGAACAAATAAAACATGTGTCTTGCTTCAACATCTCGAACGGCTATGTTCAGCGAACAGTGGCTTCACATGCGCCGCGCAAACTATTTCGGAGCCGCGGTGTTGGCTGTCCGCTTTGCCTCAAAAAGAGTAGATTGGGCCTTTGTCAATCTCATGCCACCAGCGCACACGATTGAACACTAGAAGGCCGAGCAGACTGTTTTGAATGTGGCTTTGGACACGATGATGAACCACTATGTAAGATCTTCACACCACAATGTCTTGTCATGAAAATGGGTGGGTTGATTGAAATTGACGCACAATATGTTGCAGCCACCATACAGTCTTGATTGAAAGCATTCACCTCGTAGGGTCAGGAACACGCTCGGGCTGGAAAGAAGCCAGAGCTTAATTTCGAGGAATCGCACCATTATTGACGCGTATCTTTGGAAACAAGACTTATATACAACAAGTGCTTTGGAGCACATTGTCACTCTTTTTTTGGGCTGGCAGTTTAGACATGGGACCGTGCAAGACCTCGTATTTCTGGAATCCTACTTGAAATCATTGGCACTCAGTTGCAGCTTGGCAATCATGTCTTGAGCTTCCGAATTAGTCAAAAGGTCTTCCCAGGCACATGTCTGGTAGTACAGGACAGCGTGGCCACCTGGCGGGCCTCGTGGCTCGCTCTTTAGCGTGGCCTCCTTGCTCTTGGCGCTTTTCTTGTCCTTAAGTTTGGGCGCCTGCTCTTCCACTTCCTTCTTGTCAACCTCTTGCAAGATGCCAACTTTCAAGAGGTCTTTGACTGCTGCCAAGACGTACTTTGCTGGTTTTTCTTCTTTCTCCTTCTGAAAGTGGTACTTCAGAACAGAGCGAATGTGCGCAGTGGAGGTTGGACCAGCGCATCGAGGATTGGACAGAATGACTTGCTGCAATTTCATCTTGGCATCCAAATCTGCAAGTCCTGGGGTCTTGACATCTGGCACGGCTTTGGGGCCTACCAAGGCTTGGACTTGCTTGGAGCATCTGCGTCAGCATAGCGTAGCTTCTGTTAGATTGGTTCTTCTACATTCTCGTGATTCTCGTGCAAGAAGTCGGAGATTCCCTGCAAAGCCTTCCTGAGCACGGGCAAGGCGAACTTGTCAAAATAGTGGTCTTTGTCCTGGTTGCTTGCCACGCGCCCCATCCAACCAAAGAAGTCAATCAGAAACTCTTTGCTGGACTGGCTCTGCTGATCAGGGTCACTTGTCACTGGCCTTGTTTGCCACGTCGCATGGATTCTCTTGGAAAACATGCTTGCAGTCGGCTGGAGCACATACTCACAAAGCGACACCTGTCCATACACGTGGTGAACGAAGATGTAATGAGTCAGCGCAGTGGCACCATCTCCAGTGACTGTCTTGTCACCTTCGCAGTTCAGCCAAGTGCACATCTTTTCTTTGTTGCCGTAGTGCAGACCTGAGTGTCGGGTCTCCCTCCCGGATGTCACGGCATATTGTTGTGGCAATCTCATCCGAAATGATGCCAGCTCGGACATATTCTTTGATAGAAGCACGAATACCCTTGATGGTGGCATCCGTGCATGTGGCGCCACCTGCCTTGATGACAGCAGGGACATCTGCATGGGAAAGAAGCTTTTTGCTGGTAAAATCCTTCAAAGAACTCTTGCGCATGCTGGGGTCACCTGCGCAAACAATCTGGACTACGCAGCCACGTTGGTGCTCCTCATCAGGCTGCAATCGAAGCCGCGTGCCTGCATGGATGCTCCATCCAACCAATGTTGCTGAGGATCGGCGCCATGAATGTCTCAGGCTCCCAACCTTCCTTGCGGGCAATGGTTCTCAAGCTGACTCCGAAAGGCGCGGGCAGCACTTCTCGAGTTCGGAAGGCAAAGTCTGATGCCACAGCGTTCCCTGGGGTCTTTCAAGGCTGCATTCAGAACGGTTTGATAAGAAGCCTCCGGGCTTCCAAGCCCTTGATATGTGCTCTTGGTGTGAAGGAATGAAAGGCTTTGTGCTTCATCCATGCAAGCCAAGTAATTTGATATGGCGTCGTGCATAGGATCCTTCACCGTGGTAGATGCCTTGCTGGTCTGACTCAGGTCGTAGATGTCAATCCCAAAGCTTGGAATGGACAAGCGGGCTGCTTCACTTCCACCCTGTGTGAAGGGAGGGCTTTCTGGGCTTGGGGACCTTTGGGTGGGCGGCACTGGGCTGCGTTGTCCTGCTGGTGGGCTTGCGTTGGTTGTTAACTTCTTGCCCGCTGGGCCCCCACCCGCACGGACAGGCGAAGCTGCCTCTTCTCTGGTCTTTCTTTTTACCCCCTCAGCCACAGCCTCTGCTTCCATTGCTGCCTCAATCTCCATCTCTTGCAAACCACCATCATCAGCCTCTTCCTGGGAATCTTCATTCTGAAGACAGAATGGGGAGTCATGCATAGGGCAGCCCTGCTTTAATCGGTATTGCTGCAAGCAATCCGCCTGGCACATGTGTGAGCAAGAGTCTCGGCTCGGCTCGGGGAGCACAAGTGTTTTTCCGCATCGTCTGCGAAACCATCTCCACAAATTTCACACGTGGCCATGTCTAGGAAGCTAACTCCTACAACTTGAACTTGATGGCGCGGCTTGGGTACCGGAGAGCACTTGTCAATGCGTGGTATGATGGTCATATTTGTCGGATTTGCCTTTGCAGTCCCAAGCGTGATATCGACAATATGCAACCAAACTGGGTCTCATGCATGTTGCGCTGCGTGGACAGCCGGAACAATGTGAAAATGTTCACATGCCCTCCACATCTCTCAGTTTCAACACTTCTGTAGCGCGCAGCGAATTTTTTTAACCTCGCGACATTATCAAAAACTGCTTGGCCTAGTGTACAAAAGGACTGCACAATATCGTCCATGCCATTGAGGCCCACAGGTCGCAGTGGACGAAGCCAGGGCGGCGCTAATCAGGTACGGATAATTTGCGGTCTGCGGCCTGCAGCGTCTGCAAACAAGATTCTTGCAACGCTTGAACCCGAACCTCCTACGTTCACCTAGCTGCAAAGAAAACGACTCCAAATAGGGCAGTCGTGGTAATGGTACAGATGATGAATTTCTGTCGTCGGGAGATTACTTCCTGACATCTCGCTGTTGACTTCAAGATGTCCCAATCACAAACAGAATCTGCAATCTACAGCCCAAGACGTTATATACACCAGCACACTTTGCGTCGCTACTTACTGGCTTGGTTCGAACCACTGTACCAAATCTGTATATTTCCATACAGCCCACTGCCTAACCAAGTACGGGTAACTAACATACATCCTTGTGATTCTACTTTTGTATGCTCGAGATACCATCGACAGCCCGGCTCAGAGAGCACAGGTAAGCCAAGGGCCGCTAATCTTGACAGTGGCAAGTGGCACCACCAGATAGAGCCAATGTTTGCAAGTTCAGTCACATTGGGAAACATGCATCTGGAAACACACAGACCGGCAAGAATGCCAGATAGGATGTCAGAATGTATGCCACATAGACTCCCATAAAAAATGCCAGATAGAATGTCAGGCAGTATGTCAGATGAAATCTCAGACAGAATGCCAGATAGAATATCAGATAGAATGCCAGAGAGAATATCAAAATAATCAGAAACAATCTCAAAATATATGGCAGATGGAATGCCAGAAAGAATGCCCGATAGAATCTCTCTCTCTATATATATATATATGATATGTCAACTAGAATGCCAGTTGACCGGGGCCACTCGAGGAAAGTAATTTTGACTATTATCGTTTATCAGGCGGGCGTCTACCCATTCCATTCCATTCCATCCGTCCGTCCGTCCATCCATCCTATCCATCCACCCATACTGTCCATCCATCCGTCCTTTCCGTTCATCTACATATCTATCTACCTAGCTATCTGTTCACCTATCTGCCTATCTACCTATCTATCTACCAATCTATCTAGCTATCTATCTTTCGATCCATCCATCTATCGAATTTATATACTTTCATACAACGTTGCAATCCTTGGGTTGCATGTGGATTGAAGATTCCAGAAAGAACACTCTTCAATCCAAAGAAGGGTACAGAGGGTACCGACAACAAGAAGCATTGAGAAGCCGTTCTCACGACATGCGCGTCAGCCCGTATTCAAACAATCCAGACCGACTGCCCCGCTTGCCCCGCTTGCCCCGCTTGCCCCGCTTGCCCCCTTGCCCCGCTTGCCCCGCTTGCCCCGCTTGCCCCGCTTGCCCCCCTTGCCCCGCTTGCCCCGCTTGCCCCGCTTGCCCCGCTTGCCCCGCTTGCCCCGCTTGCCCCGCTTGCCCCGCTTGCACTTGCTCTGCTTACCTCCGCAGCAAGTGCGTCGAGTGGGGGGAGTGGGGCGAGTCGGGCGAGTGGGGCGAGTCGGGCGAGTGGGGCGAGTAGGGCGAGTGGGGCCGAGTAGGGCGAGTGGGGCGAGGGGCCAAAGTCAATTAATTTTCCTACCAAGGCAAGTGGGGCGAGTGGGGCGAGTGGCGGATTTCAATTAATTTGCTAGCCCAGGGCAAGTAGGGCGAGTGGGGCGAGTGGGGCGAGTGGCGGATTTCAATTAGTGTTCCTCGTGGGCGCCCGCAATGAAATGGTGGTCAACTGTTTCAATCCAGGTTCACATTGTGCCCGTTGACGGGTCCAGCAAAGTGCTCAAAGTGAAGTTTCTGCTCTGACCCATCTGAACGAACTTCTGGGTGAACCTCACGGAACCCACAGAACTCATCACGTTGCTCGGATATTTTGCATCTTTCATCAATCACAATTTTCGCAACATATTTACAATGGGAGAAACTCTTTCAAAAACTGTGAAGTCCAGAGGCTAACTCTGTGAAAACAAAGAAAACACTGTTTAAAAGTTTAGCAATACTTGAACTATATTATATATAGCTATACAATACCAATCCAAGTGCAACAACTCATCAAGCGCCCGACCTCCAGGAACCTGAACCCACAGCCGACTTCAACAGCCAGGTTATTCCGGGTTCCCGGACAGGTGGACCAAGTCATTCAGTTTCGGATCTCCGTTCATGAACTCTTTCATGGCACGCTTCCATCCTGCAATCCTTGGACAAACCATTCGCCCACAAAGATCCAAGGGACATAAGCTACTGGCTACCAAAAACCATCCAAAAACCCCAATGGTCAACGAGGTGTCAAAAGCACTTGCCAATAGCTACAGATCCAAATGGTTTTTTGCAGAATTAAAAGGTTTGGAAGTGTATGGACCGAAATGGGTGGAAATGGCGTTCCCTGAAGTTTTACAGTTGTTTTTCATTTTTGTGTGGGAAGCACTGATCTAAAGGCATGCGGCTTCTTGATCTTCTCCGGCACATCGCCATCCGGCAATTTCCTCAAGGGAGGACAAAAACACGCCAATCAGATGCAGGATTCCAGTTGTTTGCTCCATAATGTCATAATAATGATTTTAATAATCAGCACATTTTCGTATAAGTATGTTCGAGGCATTTGGGCATGAACCCGTTTTGGTTTCACCCACACTCGATATTGAACTCATGCCTGAAGTGGTTGCCAAGACTCCGATCGTGCCATCCACGTGAATTTTCCATGTCTTTGGGATTCGCTAAGCGCCTAAATGCAGAAACAATGCAGGATTTTTTCCATTTGGTTGGTTGGGCATGTTGACAAGTGTTAACGAGAAAACGTGACTCAACAAAGAGAACAATTTGCCAATCGCATCATGACTGCACTCTGCCTGATCGACACAACAATGTTTGTTCAAAAATGTGAATACCCAACGAAGATCATACAGCAAAAATGCCAAAGTGGACAACTGAAGTTCGGATTGCAACGAAACGATTTTATACCACCTTTAAATCCAACAACACCCAATGCAAACCAGGACCTGTTCGACCACTGCTTTATAATGTTAATGAAACAATCAAAAATTGTGATTGTGACATCCGCACCTGCTCTCATCCACAAGTGCCATGGTTTTCGCATCTGGCATGCTGCAACCTGCAAACCTATTTTTTGGTCAGGTTATCTTGTTTCCAGTGGTGCACGTCAAAATGAATATGCAATTACACTATGTTGTCCTAAATTTGTGAATCCATCCACCAACCGAAACACTCCAGGTTTTCTGCGCGTGTTACATGTCAAATGTTTTTAAACCAAAAAAATGCGATTTAATCAACCTTGTCGGAACGCAACAAAAAATGATTGCTGAAAAATGTTAGAAACAATTTGAAGGATTGAAGTTTTGAAGAAAAATCAAGGCAACAAATCACCAAACTGACGTACAACATTGCTTGAACGGTTCAACATCGATCATTGTGAATCATACGGCCAAACGCAAACAACTACCGTCACCAGCACGCGTCCACATTTGGCAAACAACTATGCCGCATCACAGTACAATGGTAACAAAATATGTGTTTGCGAATCACTTGTTACAACAAAAATGCCTCACGGCAAATTGTTGCATTACAAATTCATCTGTTTGTCACGGGCGTGCACGTCATGTTTTTTGCAATGAATACTTTTGCCTGGTGACCATTCGTGTGTGCCAAGGGTTGCTCAGTTGTTCAAATCACTAAATCACTAGATCACTACATTGTTACATCACTAAAACATGAAATCATTGTGAAAATGTCACATGTCGCAACAAAGCGGATGAAAACGGGACCTGCCTGTGCTAGTTGTGTAAGTAAAATTCCCACCCCAAACCCTCCCATGGAAAAACACGGATCGCCACGCTCGCTCAACAGTTGCAAACCTAGGTAAATCGCGCTGTTCTATGTATATCTTAACGTGAGGCTATCGCCGCGGTATCTGCAACCAATATATCAACCTTTGCGTTATCGAAGGAAGTTTAGAAGTCGAACTTCCGACAATATGGACAGATGGACAGGAGTATGTCAAGTTAGACAACCATTAGCTCACACCTTTTTTACGTGTATGGTCAGCTCCAGCCCGGGCCAGGGTTGTCAAGTGAACGCCCGGATGCTGTGCACACCCTAAGCCTGTCAAGGCTGCTGGAGCAAAACTAATGGCTCAAAAAAGGACGAATATGGACATGGCGAAGAGATTGTGCCAAAAGCTTCACTCTTTCTGTTCACTACGAACAGAAGTTTTCTCAGCCCGTGGCATTTCAAATCTATTCAAAAACCAATCTTCTACAAGGAAATTCGTTGCATTCTATACTCTGTTTGTATCTGCCAGCATGGTTCCTTTCCCTCGGCGGGGTCATGAGAAATTGCCGTACATTTCTCCGAACTTCTCTCCAGCCGCCAAAAATTTGGCTCCAGCCCGTGCAGAACACGGCAACGGAGGCAGAAAAAATAGGAATTCCAGTCGAAGATTCGAAAAATTGTGAAAACCATCTTTCATCCCACGCCAAAATCTTCAGGGCAAAAAGATACCTGTAAGTGCGGACGATGGCGCCATAGAGGTTCCTCAGCCCCCCTACTGCCTGGTTGTTTTCCATCTCTCTCCTTTCTCGATTGCTTGCTGGCTGCTTTGACTGTACCTCTGGCCGCACCGCTCTGAGTGCGTTCCCTTCCACTTTGATGGCTTTCTTTTGCAACGTCACCAGTCCTTCCTCCGTCTTCAAGAAGCGGACAAGTGACTGCGCCCATGCCCAGCAGAGTCCAGTGGGGTACTCGGCTGCCAAAGCAGTTTTCCACACTTCCCTGGGAGGATCGACGAAATAGTCCAGGGTCTTTCCAGCCAGCCCTCCTGGCATATGTTGGTGGGGCCGAGCGTCCACGCACCTGGCACAGGCGTCCGCCATCCAAGCTGCATCTGTAAGAATACCAGTCGGCTTTTTAGTCTCTGCTCCATACGGCCATTGGTCGAGCCCCACCTTTCTCATTCTTTTCATATGCCTCTCTAACGTTGGTTGTTCCCAAATGAACGAGTCCTCTGGGTTCTCCAGCGAGGCGGTGCTCCTTGCCGCCTGAGCTTCGTCTAACAGGACCGCCGCTCTCTCGACGATTGCGGAAGGTAACCTCAACCTTCGAAACCTCTAGACCTACTTGGGTCAGCGTCCAGGACGTCGTCCTTAACAAACTAGACCGTCCACGCAACCAAGTCAACCACTCCCAGAGCTCAGCCACTTTTACCACAACACACAAGAGACAAGATGTTTGCTCATGTCGCTATGGTTCTTGTTGGTGTGTCACTCCTTGACACAAAACAGATGCGGAGTCGCAAGTTAGCATCTTTCTGCCAACTTCACAAAAGCGATCAAAAACACATGTCGTCACAAAAAGTCTTTACATCAAGACATGGTTTGTTTGTTTAAATAAGTTTGAGTGTTTGAAAACTGTTGAAACATTTCAAGCACCAAAACGTGTTCTGTGATGTCTCCCTCAGATCTGTTAGCAACTCCAATTCTGAATGCCTTTCAGAACGTTGCTCTCGCTATCATCATTGAGAGACAAAACAACCTAAACTTCTCCGATCAATGTCAAACAAAGTTCCTTCTTCCGAAGTCACAAAATGAATTCTACGATCTTCTCACGATTCCTTCGTGCACTTCACCGGTGGAAACTAAAGCAAAAGATATGGAAAATGGTTTGATTTTCCATGTCACTATACAAATTCAAATCCTCACTGTGTTCTCCGTGCAATCAAAGTACTCAAAGAAGACGAAAAGTATATCGTTGTAGGGTTTCGTCATCTCCAATAAAACGTGCAAAACATGAAACGTGCAAATACAATGTCAACCATCACGGTTGAGCTCACCATCAAGGTGAAAAGCAAATTCACTTCTTCCAATGCAGAAAGACCAAATAAATTCATCTCACCACAGATGTCAGAAATTTTCACACCCCCTTTTGAGATGAACTCCATTCCATGTATAGCTGTAACCCATCCAGACTTCAGCACATATCGCCCAAGTTCGACAGGTCAATACATAAGGATGCCCTTAGCCGAAAGGCTACATAGTGACCACTCATCCAGTTCGACAATCTTGCAAACTACAGTTGTCCACATAGAATGAGATCCTGTATAGATCCAACCACCCTCACAGTGTCATCAATCACAAAACTCTCGACGCAAGGTAGTTCCTGCATAGAATGGCACATTAGCCACTTTGCAGTCCACCAAATCTCGGGCCTTAATGTACCTTGACCAATCCAAGGCAGGACCCTTCGCTGAGTCTTTGGTCAAATGTTTTCGACGCCATGAAACATAGCTGGGATCTTTCTCGAAGACAGTCTTGTAACTCATCTTCTCCTTCTCATACTTTCCAAATGCAAACTTGGTCTTTCCCCACATTGTCATATTTGTAATACCAGCTGGAAGCAAGGCCTTTGTGGCCAAATCTTCGGTGCCTCCCACGGGCTCCATGAAACTACTTCCAACCACCCAATCTGACTCTGTGTCGACCTCAAACTCTGCATCTTCAATTCTGCGCTTTGATGCATCGGTCATTGCACCACTAGCTTCAGTTGTCGGCAATGGCATCTGAGAAGTACGACGCTGTGCCAACTGCTGAAACATCTTCTCATCCTCAATGCTCCAATTGGATGAAGCCATGGCTGCAAAATCAAACCGCGTCCGGTAGTGAAAAAGCACTAGACCGTGGCCAAACTCTTAGGAGCAATCAACCTAGAACGTGAAACGAAGTGTCGAACCGCCATCACTTTCGTGATAGGCACAGTGACCTTTCATATTGTTCTGCGCTGCACACACCGCATCTTACAGCATCGCGCAACAAAACTCTGCACAAAATGCAACACAGTGAAAACTCCTGTTTGTCTTTGGCAACGTTTGTTTGAAACAACATGCAAAACAGGAAAATGAAACGTGACGTCAACTTCTGTCTCTCTCTCACAGGGCCCCCTTTCAAACGAAAATTCACTTCTTCGCTGCGTGTTTGACCGCAATCAAAATGTCTCTTGCCAACTTTCGGTTGTAAAACGCTGTCTCAGCATAGTTGATTTGATAGAGTTCTGCGTGTGTCTGTTATGTACATGTAGAAAGTTTGGAGTGGAGATTTAATGCAAACCAAGCTGAATTGGAAACAAACTTCAATGTCTTTCCAATCGGAATACCATCCTTGTTCTGACATCCAGTCTTGCACAACTTCACCAAAGCCTCATGCCTCATGTCAAAACTTTCCAAAAGATTCACTGTCTCAGGTCGGGACCAAATGGTATTTCGTTCTGGAAGCTCAAACGAACATGAGTCTGCATGTTTGAAGTAACCACCAATCGCGTTGATGATCTCATCCCATTCCTGGTCCCTTTCAGTGACTGAGTCCGGATTGAAATTGCGAAGCGGACTTCCACTTCCACAAGGAGTCGATGCATGAATATGCACCCAAGGTGGACATGACGAGTTCTTCCACTGTGGAATGCAAACAACTACACGACTCAACGTTCCAGAACTCTGCACCTTAGCAACTACACCAATGTATGGGACCTTTGAAACTTCACAAACCTTTCTCAAGTTCGAATGTTCCGAACAACACAGTTCTACAATCGCAATTGAAGAACCCTGAGTCAACACCTGCTGCAACACACACAGCTCACGAAGTTCTGCTAACTCAGCTGTCAAACCATCTGGAACAACAATCCCAAGAGCATATCGGTGCTTATAGAAAGCTTTAGCACTCAAGCATTTAGTGAAAAGATCTGCTGGATTTTCAACACCACTCCTGTGTCTCAATTTCAACAAACCCTCTCTCATCTGCTCTCGTAACCAATGCAATCTTATTTCAATGTGTCGTGAACGTCGTGGCACGTCCATGGATCTCACAAGTTGCAATGCGGAGCTTGAATCGCTCTCCAGCCAAATCACAACTTCTTCTGGCTCATCGATCTCATGAAGTGCAAAAAGAAGACGGTGAACCAGTCTTCCAAACGCAACACTTTCTTGACACACTGATTGCAAACCATAAAGCTCTGCCTCACATGAACTCAGACTCAAAGCTTGTTGCTGTCGGCTCAGAGACCTTACCAAAGACCTCTCAAAGAAAACAGCTCCACCACTAACACCTTTGCGGTTGTTGAAACGATACGGCGCATGTGAAGCGTCGCTGAAAGAGTGGAGATGGACTGATCTCAGTTGAGCATCGTCAACCTGACTCATGATGGTCTCATCTCTGCTCGGTAGACACAAGCAGGCATGCATGTCAACATACAAGAATCTCAAGACTGCTTTCAATGCTTGTTCAGTTCCGTGCATCGGTTTCGCTTGCTGCGTCCCAAGAACAGACATCCATGTCTTCAAGTCATGACGCACCTGTGACAACCAAAGCAATTTTCCCAACGCCTTCCTGAAGCGTGAGTATGCTTCATCTGACAAAGGTTTCTGAAAGTTGCTATCCGTGAGTGTTTTCTCCAGATGTCCCGAAATGTCAGGAACATTCTCAGACCCACGGGTAACACCATAATCCAGAAACGTAGAGTCAAGATAATGTGGATCAACACCCAGAGTGATCTCAGAGGAATCTCTTTCTCTTTTGATAACACGACCAATAAAGGTCAGGGATCCTCCCTCTTCTCCGATCTCTCCAGTTGTCTTCACAGGCACTACAGACGACAAAGTTGCAACCACATGTTCTTCGGCTTCCTTCGTGGTCGACAACAACAAGATGTCATCAACATATACTACACACAAGCAAAATCCAAGTTCATGACCATCTTTCACAATCTGTCCACCATACATACATGGTTCCAACGAATCAGACCAAAGGCCTACATGTTCAACCGTACATGTCAAAAGCTGCAACCATGCCAGTGAAGCATCACGTAACCCGTTCAATGCCTTTTCAAGCAAATAGTAGGTCACTTCACCTGATGGAAAGCTAATCGACAACGGCATTTTCAAGACAACATGTACACCAGTTCCCAATGGGCTATGCATGAAGGCATGACTCACGTCCAATGCACGCAAAAGCATCTTCCTGTCGCTGCCATTGCAAGCACCAAATGAACACTTTCAATCGAAGGGGTAGGACTACTAAATCCCAAAGATCTAGCTGAGGAGCCACGATTGAAGTCCTTCGCAACAATCCTGGTTCGAACCCTCTCACTGCTTTTGTAAGCTGCAACCCACCTCGACTGGATCAAACGAAGGTTCGGAACAGCCTTCTTCATGTCGTCCAGTTCTGACTGGGTGATGATGCGGCCAGTCTTGCAGTGTTCCAAGTTCCTAACCTCTTCCTGCATACCCTTGAAACCTTGTTCCAAATCAAGCTCTTGCAAACTCTGGTCATCTATGATACTGTCCGGTTTCCAAACTAAGACATCTTGACCTCCAAGACGCATCTTCACAAAATCATGCTCATTGCCAAACAGAATCAAGAGAACCAGAAAACATTTCTGGAGATGTTGCCGGAGCAAAAGACGCTGGACCTTCAAGTGTACCCAAACTCGCAACCAACACAGGTTCACCACTACCAACCCAAAACCAATCAAAATCCATGTTTGTTGAAGCAATTCTTCCGAATCTTCACGGATCTCTCGCTCTAACTGTTCTCGGTCGGTCTCAGCTTTCCTTTTAAACCTTCTGGTGTATTCAACCTGTGTTTCCGGCTGTCGCCGAGCGGACTCAGGTGTTGATACCATTTCATCATCATCAACCTCTTGCACTGGTACCTGAGCCTGGGGTACAACTACAGGGCTCTCCGGAGAGAGTGCAGGTTCGATACGCCTTTCCTTTCTCCGTTGTTCCTCAAACTCAGAAAAACGCTTCCTACATTCCTTATTGTGCCTAATACCAGGTGCTTCCATGCCACTCTCACATGCTGGACATCGACGAGTCGGTTCAAAACGTGATACGTCAGGTGAAGTTCTTTCAGGACTCTCAGGACTACCAATAGCTACATCTGCAGTATCTGCTGGTGACGTAGGAGATGGAGTGACA